AGATCTATGCACTGGGTTCGGTTTCTTGTGGATTTTGTTATCCTACAGGCAGCCCAAGTTTCCAAGGAATTTAAACACGTATCAGATTGCATTTCCAGGGATATGTAACCCAGAACAAACATTCCACTCAGTATATAAAGTGCTCAGAAAGCAGCTGCTTCGTGAAGCCACAACACCAACCAGGTAACGTTGGCGAGTGTTTCCAGCTTTTGCTGTTCCCCTGTGTAATTCCTCTCCTCTAACCTGTCTGTTCCAGTTACTTGTCTGGATCAGAGATGAAATCACAGAGCAATAATCTCTTTTGGATATGATATTTCTACCTTTAGCATAGAAAAACCATCTTTGCTTTATACATCCATCTTAGAAGTAATTTCAAGTCATTCAGCTCAGGGGAAAGATTTTCACTGGATGTGGACCCAACTAAATTCAGCAAGTACAAGATATGGTTAATTTTTCATCTCTGTTTTCAGGTCTAACCTCCTCCTCAGGAAGACAACCATGTTTCTCAGAACTACACTGCTGGGCATTGCTCTCTACAGCATCCTCTGGACAGAAGCAGCTCTGGCTGGCTCTAGTTTCCTAAGCCCTGAATATAAAAGACAACAGGTAAAAAAAAGTCAGAATAACCTTCTATCAGGATTGTCCTCTCTTGTAAATCCTTTGTAGTGTTCAGAGAAGCTTTTGGAATATTTATTTAGGAAGGAGTTGTTCAGAGAACTTCCATAACAAACCAGCAGCATTATACTCATGCTGTGAGAATATGTGTCCGATTTGTCACTAAGAATGATCTGAAAAAAAATGGAAAGCATCCTTTGGGATAATTATTTAGCATCTTCTGTGGACATTAACTCTGAGGTGGTTGTTCCTTATTGCACCTTTAAAGCCAATTCCTGTTGAAGTGAGAGCAGCAATGCAGGACAATTATTACAGACCTATATTAGTGCCTGATGCCTCCAGGGAATTTACTGCTTCTGGGTTACTGATGGGATCTGATTCCCTATACAGACTGGTCTGATTATGGAAAGAATACATAGATCTCATAGAGATAATATTTTTCTTGCTTTTTAGCAACAAAGGGAGCCAAAGAAAGCCCCAGCACAGCTCCATCGCCGTGGCACAGAAGGGTTTGGGGATGTGGGTGAAGCTGATGATGGCAGCAACAGGATTGAAATTAAGGTTTGTGTTTGCCCTTCTCACTCACACAGAGTTAAGGGTCCCACAGCCTCTGCCACAGAAGGCAGCACACATTAAAGCTACAGCCACATGAAGACTGACAGCACTGGTGGAGTGAAATAATGTCCTGTTAGCTGCAGAAAGTCAGGTCACAATGTCTCTGTTTAGGGATCACTTAGGTTTTGGAACAAACATGTAACTATGTACGTTTCCTGTAAAGTTTTCTTTCCTCCAGTGAACTGCACTGTAGTGTGTTCACTGTTCCTGAGGTTTTCTATTACTAATCAGTGAAGAGGTGGAATAACTTCTGGTGCCTCTAGCCCATCATCATTCCCATCAATAAAATTACCTCGCTGTGTCCATGCCCAGAACATGTCTAAGAAGTGTCTTTTACTGTTTTTACAGTTCAGTGTTCCCTTTGAAGTCGGAGTGAAGATGACAGAGGAGGAGTATCGAGAGTATGGCCAGGCACTGGAGAAGATGCTGGGGGACATGGCTGAGGAGAATGCTAAAGGTACTGCCAGCCCAGGCACAGACACAGAGCTTGGGAGGGAAAACCAAGCACAAACCACAAACAAATCCACCAGCACCACAGAGCAGACAAACCCTCTCATCTGATCTGTCACGTGAGGTGAAAATCACCTTATTTTCTGCCTTCGGCTGAGCAGGCATAGAACTTTCAGGCAGATTATCACAATAGGATTTTTCAGAAAAATATTAAGACTGTGAAAATAACCTTTGCCTTTTGCCTTTTTAGAAACTTGGATGAGAGACTGAGGCAAGATGAAGGACAGAGGCAGCACTAGGTGGCCTGGTTTAACTTTTAAATGAAATTATTACTGATTCCACAACTCTAAAGAAGAAAGTAATGTGTGAACCTGAGGAGTTTTCCCTGATGGACATTGGAAGAGATAATATTTGCAGGAAAGATACAAGATCTGAAGCCAAAAATAATCAAGGGCCAAGTTAATCATGAGCTGCCATGTAGGATTGTCTTCTTGCTTTACCTCCTTTCTTTAGCAAACACAGTGATTGCTCTTAATGATGTGTTTGAAGCTTTATGAATCCTTTGTAAAACTGGTGAAAACATCTTCTCACACATGTGTGACAGAGAATAAAGCCTGTGCTGATGCTGCAGTCCCTGTGGGGTGGTTTGTTTGTTTCGGGCAGAGTGAAGGTCTGTGCAGCCTCACACACTTCCCAGTGCTGCAGCTGCACTGGGACCAGCACCAGTCATAGAATCATAGAACCAACTGGGTTGGAAAAGCCCTCCAGGATCACTAAGTCCAACCCTACCGTGGTCACTAGACGATGGCACTAAGTGCCACATCCAGTCTCATCCTAAAAACCTCCAGGGATGGTGAATCCACCACCTCCCTGGGCAGCACATTCCAATGCCTGAGCACTCTCTCTGGAAAAAATCTCTTCCTAATAGCCAACCTACCCCTCCCCTGGCAGAGCTTGAATCTGTGCCCTCTTGTCCTGCTGCTGGTTGCCTGGGAGAAGAGACCAACCCCCACCTGACTCCAACCTCCTGTCAGGGAGTTGCAGAGGGTAGAAGGTCTCCCCTGAGCCGCCTCTTCTCCAGGCTGAACACCCCCAGCTCCCTCAGCCTCTCCTCATGGCACTTGTGCTCCAGTCCCTTCCCCAGCCTCGTTGCTCTGCTCTGGACCTGCTCCAGCCCCTCAATGTCCCTCCTGAGCTGAGGGCCCAGAACTGAGCACAGGATTCAAGCTGTGGCCTCACCAGCTCCGAGTCAGGATTGCTCAAGTGCCACAGTTCACATTGCTTTCATGCTCCAGCTGAACACACTTGTTTCTTTGTGGTTCCTTCTTACTCATAGTTTGAGATAAGAGGTGAAATGCACTGATGCTTTCAAACACTCTCATGTTAGGAAAGGCAAATGCAGTCCCTGTGGGGCTCAGCTGCAGGGGAGATCCCCCAACCTCACCAGAGGAGGTTGCAGCATTACTTTTGTTTTCCAAACCCTTAAGTACTGCAAAAATTGTCTTCTTCCACTAATCTGAGATGATTATTCACTGTGAAAAATGAAACCAGGTGACTAACTAAGCTATAATCAACTCAACCCCATGAATATTGACAGTAACAAGCCATTAAAGAAAGAACAAGGCGGAATCCCTCAAAATAAGCAGCTGATAGATTAGAATGACTTCAGGGGTTTAATTCTTTATAAATAAGGGAAGTAGAAGATGTTCTGTGGTGGGTTTGCCTGAGTGGGTGGTTATTTTCCTGTCAGTTTGGGGTTTTTGGTTGTTTCCACTGTGCAGCCTCCCAGGGTTCAGGGCGCAGTGCTCCCTCCGCCTCACTAATCCCTCTAATGACTGATTTTAGGGTGAAATTCTGCTCTAGGGACACCTCAGAGGAACAAAGTAGTTATTGAGCAGTGAATGAGGACTGAATAAACATGTCTGTACTAGCAATTGCATTGAGCTGCTTCCCCACGCACAGATTCACCCTCAGAGGGGGATTGAGGCGCCTCTTTCTGTGCCATAAATCACCAAAACCACGCTGTAAAGAAAGGGTTTTTTGCAAGTTTTTTTTTATTCACGAAGCTGTCAGTAAAAGACAACATACAAACTTGCCCCTGAACAGCCAGGTGAGGTGGCAGCATGAAAGTGAGATGCAGCAGTGTCTCGTGTGTGGCATGAAACACTCGGTAACGCCACAAGACCTCGTGCATCACCTCAGAATACTTCAAAACTAACATGGGACAAGGCAGAGAATAACAATTCCATTTGTGGCTGCAGGAGAGCAAACCCTCTAAGGCACTTCAGTGAAACAGAACTGTGCCCAAATTATGCTTCTCAGTTTAAAACTCTCTGGTGTGTCCAAATGTGTTTCTTCCTGGAGGTTTTTACCATGAATCTTCCAGAATATACCCATGAAAAACAATGAATATTACGTTTCCAGCACCACAAAATGTCTCAATTAAATCTCCCGTAGGATTAAGCAGTTACTGACCAATCTCAATACACTCAATGTTCCTTGTGTCAGTACTAATGTCTTGGTTGGATTCCAGTAAAGTAAAAAACCCTGACACTGGCAAAGACATAGACAGTATCCAAGGCACTTAGAATTAAGGAATTTTACCAATTTTTAGTGTAGAAATCAATGTGATAAATGTGCAGATGATTCTAATACTCAGGTCTTTAGTAAAAATACTTTACTATCTCATAACAATATACACAATAAACTACAAAAATAGAAGATATGAGACCTTTGTGATAAGCTAAGAAAATACACTATTACACAGCTCCAATGAGAGGAATGACATGTAATCCATTTATTTCCACTATTCCCTGCACTGCACTGTGAATTGTAGCCATCTCTGCACAGCAGGCAAACAATAAATATCATCAGAAGAAAAATGACACTTTCTGAAGGGGCTTTCACTCAACCATAAATACACCAGCAGCAGCACACAACTCCTGCTGCTTTCTGCTGTGTGTGACCCCCAGGGCTGAGCCCAGGGACACCCCTGGGGCTCCTCTGAGAACACGTGGTGAGTGTGGAACCATCAAACAGGTCCCTCACTAGCTTATCTCTGACCCATTGCCAAAATAAATACAACAGATTATATTTCAAGTGTCCCGTAATAAAATCAAAGAGATTTTATGTTAAAATCTCTACCTTAATCCAAAATATACGACAGTGACCCTGTGAAACACAATGAGAAACCTTAATGACACGTGAAGGACACTTGGAGAAAAATAACTCCCAGAAGTGCTCCTATGAGGGATTAGACACTGTCCCAGAGCTCCTGCCAGTGGACTGAAGGGTTGGATTGGTGTGTGTGTCAGAGAGAAGCTCTGAGAGAAGAGGAATGAGGATGAAGTTATCCACTGATCACTCAAACTGAGACAAAGCTGTGCAGAACACATCTGAGAACTCGCATGAGAATCCCTCTCTGGTAATCAGTGGGTTTGAGTGTGTGGACTAAGGTTAGATGGAACAGGAGAGAGCAATAGGAAAACATCCCCACTGGCTCTGAGGGTCTCTGCCTGCTGTGTGCAGTGGGTGACAACACAGGGCACTGCTGCTCTGTGACTCCTGGGACAGGTTTAATGAGACCCACAGCTCTGTGGATGCTTTCTGAACACACTGCAAAGGGATCATAAGTTATCTTGGCACTTGTTCGTGTTTGCCACATCTGTTTACATTGCAGGTGAAAAGGCAGAAGGCATTTCTGCTCACAGAGTGGAACTGTGCTTTAATCTGCTTTAGAACAGGCATTTTCTGCTGCTTCTCCATGTGATCACTTGTTTCCTTCAGTCAGGGCCAATGTTTCTGATCCAGAGCTAACTCTACATGAAAGGCACAGTTTTACCCTCTTTCTAACGAAGAGACAGTCCTTATTTCTTCCTCTGAGCTGGCCACTGCTAACAAACCCATCCAGTTTATGATTCAAAGAGTTCAGAACTGTTTAACTTATCTTCTTCATACAGCAAAATGTTTTCCATCAGCTTCTTTTTTTGATCGTTTATCTGTATATTCCAGGATGTCTCTCTGGCTAAGGCTGAAAAACAAAAAAAAACCCAAATATTGAGAGGAAAAAAAAATCCATTATTGTCTAAGGAATAGATCACAAATTTAGATTTTAAAAAGGCACCAGCAGAACTGGCTTAGGAAAAGTATCTGAGAGAAACCCACAAAACACTGTGTGGCTTTGTTAGTAACTTCATAACGAAGGAGAAAAGATTTACTGAGGTGTCTTTAGAAGAAGGAAGAAGAACCTCAGCAGTTCTGGAGAAGAGAGTGATTTGTCCCTGCTGTTCTGACAGCAGAGCAGTTTTACCTTGTGAGGCACAGGAGGAATCAGGGTCAGTGTTTCCCTCTGCAGCAGCCCCAGGTTCCAGGACTCTCCCACCCACGGCACACGCCGCGTTCCGTTCCTGCAGCCCCTGGGAAGGATTTTCCTTCTTGATGCTGCACTCAGGGCCTGATGCCTTTTCTGAGCTGGCCCAGCTGTGGCTGCACAGCTCCTCTGTGGCTTTGTCTGGAGGGTTCCATAGGAAACTGCTGGACTCGTCGGACTCACAGGGCACGCGCGACTCGTCCCCGCAGTACATGTCAGGGGCTGTGACTCCCAGGGATGGGGCACAGGGGCTGGTGCTGCTCAGGATCACTGCCTGGCTGCTCTCCTCCCTGCTCCCCACAGCACAGGGCACATCCATGCTCAGGCTGGCTGTCTCATCATCCGTTTCCTCCGGGGTGTTCATGGAGAACCCTGTGCTGCTCCCACAGGTGTAATGCTCTCTCAGTTTGTTTTCAGCCATTTCCAGCACCTCCAGCACCTGTTTTTAAGAACAAAATCATCAATGCAGAATAACTCCTGTACCTCTGCCCACACGTGCTCTCCCATGCCAACACTCCCAAGAGCAAGGCAGGTGTGAATGTTGTAGCTTTAGACCTTGATGACAAGGAGACTAAAATCTTGGTTGTGGATTTAGAATATTACCTCAGCTGTGCTAGAATTCTTCTTTCTCAGGCAGAGGCAGATGGCTGAGGCAAAATCAACAGCAACCTCTTCCAGCAAGTGTCCTGCTCTCCTGTCTAGATACTTGTGGCAGATCTCCTTGGCAGCCAGTTTGTCCAAGGTTTTTGCTCTGGAGTGCGAGCTTTCCTTTGCTGCTTGGATCTCATCAGCAATCATATCTTTCTGTTCAAAGGAAGGAGAGGCATCAGTGGTGGCAAAAACCAACACAGGCATTTCATCCTACCCTAATCTCTGAGTATTGCCTTGTATTTGCCATCAGATGGCAGGTTCAGAGAAGCTTTGAGAATCTCTGTTCACACAACTGACAGAAGTGTTTGTTTCACAGGACAGAAAAGGACAGATGCCAAATTCCCAGGCCCAGGTCTTCTAGGCTCATCCCAACTTATACAGCACAAAAACCAGCAGAGCAGAATCCTCACACAGGACTTTATAACACGTTAGAGCAATCAGAAACTTAGGATCTTTGACTTTCTGAACCCTTTTGAACACTACTGAACTGTTTGGAAACAGCAAGTGACAACACTGCTGTTCTCCCCTCCAAGGCTTCAGCAAGATGGGAAGTCAGGAGCACATCCCACGGGAGGAATGCAGGTGGAGGCTGCTCCCTGCAAATGTGTTAATGGTTCAGTGAGCCTGGCAGTTCTGGTTGCTTGTGAAAGCAGTTTGTGTGGCTCTCACCTCAGCCTGGGAATCTGGCCAGGGTGTCAAGTCCAGATAAACACATGACGAGCATCTGCAGTTCCTGCCTGCCTGGGTTTGCTCATACCACCTCCTTCATGCAGCAGCATCTCAGCACCAAGCCTTGCCCCTCAAATAGGCATGGATTTGTTCTGGGGTCTCTCCTCATAGAACCAGGCCAGGACTCACAGGTGTGGGGTGGGAAATGGGAATATCTCTTCTTCTGCCTAAGGGCAGGAAGGTTATTGATGTTAACAGAGCCAGGACATGACTCCTAAATATCCCTTCCTCAGGACAGCAGATGGCAAATCTCAAACTGCACTGAAACCCACTTAAAATGAATGCAATGACCCCACTCACTCGCGTGGGTGGTCGTTGTTCCTGCCCCTCCTTACCAGGTAAATGGGGTGTCTGCCTTCATCCAGTGCCTTCATCCCTGTCAGAACCTCTGCTAACACCTAGAAGGTGATTTGAAAGAGGAAACAGCTTCTTCAGAGTTAATGATAACTTTAAAAACTAGTTTTGTACCTAAAGAAATACTGAACTGCCAAGGCATTTTGATAGTACACTTTTACTTCAGATGGCTTAATGATTTCAGCTCTGGGTACTTATGAGACTTTACATCTCCCTCAGAGCCAAGTCCAGATTTTATAGTTAGCACAACAGATATTGTTGAGACAAAGGATGAGAAGAAAATGAGCTATATGTGGACAAGAAATCAAACTGAACAGAGTTTGTTACTACCAGTAACTCCCTATTTAGCTGGAAACTCCTGGAGAGAGTTGTGACATCACAGATTTAACAGGTTAAGAGGTGATGTTTGGAGCAGTTCACGTGGCAATTCTGCAAGAATTCTGAGAATATAACCTCTTTTAGATGATCAGGAATATGTTTTTTCAAACACGAAACTTCCGTTTCTCTTGTTCAATAGATTCACCTCACTGAAGTATATGTAGAGTGTGAACACAATTAAAACCACAATTTCAACACATTATAGAGCCAGCAACTCTGATATGAAGTTGCCAACAAAAAAACAAACATGAGGCATTTGCTCTTATATCTATTTCTTGTCTAGAAGCACCAAGGAATGCAACAGAGCATGGGAAAAGGGACTGTACCACACCACAGCTGAACAGATCCACTTTCTCTGTGAGCTGTCCATGTCTGATGAAATCCTCTGGCAGGTAAGTAAGAGAAGCTTGTAGCACTTTGGTTTTCATCGTGGCATATCCTGACTTTTTGTCAGCAGAATACAATCTCAGGCCAGAATGCCCAAGCTTTGGAGTGAAGTTTTCATCCAACAAGATGTTTGAGCTGTGATAAAGACAGACAAATAAATGTTGGTCAAGTCATTACTTTAGCTCGAGGCAAAGAATTAGTTTTACACTTTTAAAGTTAAGCACTGAAGGTGTCCAGTATTTGGCAGCTGTGGAGGAGTGGAAGGATGAAGAATGGTAGAAAGGGAGAAGGGGAAGGACAAGCACTCAAAAACAACTTCAAAAGAATAGACATGCATCATTTAGGATGGAGAGGCAGATTGAACAAAAATCAGTAAAGGTCCTACAGAACAAGGGACAGCAGAAAACACTGCACACGGATTTCCAAACTACATAAGCTTTAGCCATTCCTGTTAGAGAAATCCTGGCATTACCAGGTGACCAAGTGCTGACACACCAACCCCCTCACCTTTTGATATTCCCATGAAGAATGCCAAAGTTATGCAAATACTGCACAGCTCGGATGACTCCTATGGAGATGCTAATCCGCATCTCCCAGCTCAGTGAAGAGGAATCATCCTGCAGTGAAGGGAGGAAACACATGATATTTTACAGAATGAAACACTAATAAAGCACTGGCAGTTTTGAAAAGCAGAAGCTTAGTCTAAGTCACAAACAAAACTCCAGGAGAAGAGCTGTGGCTTTTCTCATACTTGCAGCCAAGATGATTTGAGCTGCAATTGCTTTACATGCAATACCAGGACAGGACTCAGGGATTATTGCTTACGTGGCAGTGAAGCTTGTTTTGCAGGGAGCCGTTGGGCAGATAGGGATATATCAGGCAGTGCAATCCAGTTTCCACCGAGAAGCCCAGCAGCTGCAGAATGTTGATGTGACAGCACCTGCGGGCACAGATCAGCAACGGTTTGCTAATGCAGGTAGAGCAACACAGACAAACACACTCCTGAGCTGGAAGGAGTCCCTAAAATCAAGGCAACTGGGATGGTGTGGTGCAGCAGGAGGTTGACTGATGGAGCAGTACTGAGTCCAGCGCAGTGCAGGCAGGAGGGTACAAAGGAGGTACCACATCCTCCCCATCCCAAGGGCTGTGCCAGCTCAGCCAGGACCTGCAGCAGCCCTGGGAGCTGTGCTGCTGCCCAGGACTCCCACACAGGCAGCACACAACCCTTTGTCCCCAGCCCAGCACAGACACAAACCCCAGTGCTAACCCAGCACTGCCTGGGAAAACAACCACTCACCTAAAGCAGATCTGCACCTCCGTATGAAAGAACCTCTGGGTGGAATTTGGGCTGGTGCATTCCAGCTGAGAAATGAGAAGATGCAAGAGGATGTCAATGGTAACTATCAAGATGCTGCAGTTATACAGATCTGTTAGTCTCTAGACCGTGAGTTACTGCAGGAAGGAGGCAACATCACTGATGGCAATGTTGAGTCAAAGGCAACAATCAAGAATTAGAACAAAAAGCAGTGTAAAGACACCTCTGATCCAATCATCCATGCAGGCAGCTACACTGCAGGCTACTCCCACGGGCAGAGTTAGTGGAACTACTAACTCTGCATCCATCGTGTGTTTGCTGAATCTAGGTTTACTTACTTACACCTTTTCCCTTCTACCTCTCCTCTTGTGTTGCCATTCTGGTTCCTTGCCCACACAGTGTTAAACAACAACTGCTAAAGGACAAGAGATGCTAACAACATACCCCTGCTAGCAAAGGGTGCAGCACTTGCCTCTTTCAGTCTTTTGACGACATAGATGACATTGTTCCTCTGACCTTTGTAGATGTCTGCAAAAGTACCTTCACAGATTCTGTTCTTGTCACTGAAGCTGTTTGTGGCGTTGGTGACTTCCCTCTGTGTCCACAGGAGACTCCCACTGGGGAGATCAGCCATCGTCTCCTGCTGAGGAGCAGGAGAGCTGCAAGGCTACACATTTGTAGAAGAAACAAGTTTATCTCATGATAATCCACATGCTTTTCCATGATGTAAGCAACCACTGTGATTGCTGAACGAGACTGTGACAGGCACTGTGCATTCAGTTCTTAGGGTGTAGGTAATACCTGTCCTGGTGTGTTGTGATGGGATAAAAGCTTTATAGAAGAGACATAAAATCAGTCACCTATTTGCATTTCCACCTCTCCCAGGAAACTGACTTAGTTTTCTTTAAAAGTCCATATGTTTATGTGAAGCAATGTCAGTTTAAGTTACAAAAAATATTGATCTTTATGGCTGGGGCACATAATAAGGAACAGTTGGATGGGAAAGTGAGGCCCCTCATAAGGTGTTTGTGCTCTGGGTGAAACTTCACATCTACCTCTGGAGCACCTGGTGTTGGTTGCACAATAATTTGTTGCTTCCAGTGTGGCAAGTCCTAATACCAATTGTAATTACAGTTCCACCATAGCCTAACCATGCAGCTTTCACAACCTTAATATGCACCAGGCTTGAGGAAACAAATCATTAACTCCTTCTCCAGAAACTCTGAAACTGCTGTGCTCTTTGAGGCAATCTGCTCTCCTGGCTGGTGCTCCTGAACGTGTTGTCATGGAAGAGTTTAAAGCCTCAAATGAAACAAACCAAAGAAAACAGGCCAAGAAAACCTGTGATGGGACCAGAGTGTGTCCATGAATCTGGGAAACACTCTGAGGACAGGACAGATCTAGTCAGACTGTCTGAAAGATGAGAGCTGTGGGGAGGAAGGAGCAGGAGACTGTGCTGAACTCATCAGGAACATGAGGGAACCACTGAGATGGTTAAGCACTGGAACAAGAGCTCGGAGAGGTGGTGGAACCTCCATCCTGGGAGAGTTGTACTTGTCAGTGACACAAGGCTCTGGACAACATGACTTAAATTCAGTACTAGCTCAGTTGTCAACAGAAGTCACATTTTAAGTACAAAATTAAACTAGAAGAGGTATGTGGTTCTGACTGGTCAGTGGTACACTGCCCTGTCCTGTGATCACACCAGAAAGGGTAAATCCTCTGTAGAATCTACACTGGGGAGTCCTTCAAACTCCCCTGCTGTTTGTGGGCCTCTTAGCCCTTCTGAGCTATGCAGGATGCAAGACTGTGAATTTTTCCCTCCCTGGTCCTTCACTGGCAAAAAAAGTGATGTAAACCACAAGCAATCTGCCTGAAGCACTAGTGTTATGTTCTGTCCAAACCCCCCATCAGTGAGCCCCATGTTTTCACTAGATCTATAGGGTTTTGTGCAAGTAGAGGCATAAACTTTGAAAAAGCTCAGAATGTCATAAAGGCAATCTTCCTTGTCATAGTCAGGGAGCTTGGAGGGGATTTACCTTCACACTCGATGAGACAGGGAGATTGGACTGTAGGGAATTCAGAAGGTCTCTTGGGGGAGGTGGTGGAGCAGGGAGGGAGTACATGGCTCCTTCAGAAACAGCACCTGGAACTGAAAAAACAGCACTGAAAACGCACCTTGGTTTTGTCATACCACAGCCTGTGATGAGTTGTGAAGGTGTGGGACTTGTGGAGGTCTGGGGTATTTGGCTGAATTTCTGAGCAAGGAGAGTCTGTGACAAGTCCCCCTGTGAAATGCTGTGTGGACACTGAGCTCTCTGCCTGGTTCCTGTCTGCAGGGTGACTGCTGCTCCCACCAGCCCTGGAGGGGGATGAGGAACTCCTGGGGTTGTGCTGCTGCAGATGCTCTCCCCAGTGTGTGCTGGGCTTCTCCCTCTGTCTGTGCCAGGCAGAAGAACTGCTGGCCCTGCCTGGCTCTCTGCTGGCCCAGATTTATTGTGCATGGAGAGGGGCACACGGGGCAGGAAATGCATGCACTACTCTAGTCTTGGTATGGAGCCAGAATGGGACATGGGAAACATCCTGAGATCCCAGAGGGCAGATACAGCCAACATCTCTCATCGCCAAGGGAGCTACAGGAAGGAGGACAGGAGACCACGTGCTACACTCAGGAACAAAGAGGAGGCAGCAGTGTTAGGGGAAAGGCAAACACTCAGTGGGACATTCTGGGGAGCAATGTGTTGGCTGTGCTGTCCTGACTGCACAGTTGTTTCAGGTCAGAGCACACTCGAGCCTGGTGCTGTACTTACTGCCTGCTGGGGCTGCTCCCAGCTGGGAGGGCTCTGGCAGGGGCAGTGGAGTAATCTCGTTTTCTTTCTCTCTCCTTTTGCCTTCTGAGGGAGGCACAGAGATGATCTCCTGTTGGGGTGGCTCCACCGGCTCCTCCTTCTTGGGGCTGGTGATGTTGGAGGTTGATGTCCCTTCACAACAGCACAGGGAAGATGAGAGTTACCAGGGAAAACAGAGCCTGACTCTAATCAGTGACCAGGAGATAATCCTAGTCAGGACAACAGACTGAAAATTAACATCAACAGTAAAATGAACATCCAACAGTTTAGCTGGAATTGAAATTCACACCATATTCATGACTTAACTACTGCTGCTCCAACCAAACACCAGCAATGCCTCTGCAAGAGGTACAGAGTCTCTCACAACCAGAAATTAGCAATAACAATATATTAATTTTGTCATTTCCTATTCAGCATCTTTGAGGCAATGGTCTCAAACCACAAGTACCTCCAGCCTAAGGAAGGCACTGAGTTCTTTGCCAGTGTCACAGGACTGAGGAAGATGGACAGAATTGAGTTGGGGTTAGTGAGAGAAACATTTCAGGGCTGTTCTCAATTGTGTGGTTTTGTGGCATGGCCATGCTCATTCCCAGGAGACACTTCCCTATGCAGAATTCTGTGCAATAAAGACTCATAATTTTACTTGGGAACTGAAAGAAACAAACCCGGGACAATCTAGGGAAAACAGAATTGTGATCAAAGCTCAAAGACTTACTGATGTACAAGGGAAAACTAAAGGCTGAATTAGTGGTTCACTAGAGCTCTAACAGATCCTGTGCTGTACACAGCTTGGCAAAACCTCAGTCAGGCCTGAGAATGCAACCTGAAATCTGCTTAAAAGAAGCACAAAGATGAGGGGCTTGAAAACTACCAAAGGGGGAATTATTCAGATGAGATTAGGCTACAGTTAGGATGGGAAAAAATAGAGTACAAAAGCCCAAGATCCTGTGATATATGAGGTTGTCAAAAACCCTGAAGAAGCAGGTGAATTCTTCTTTGTAAATACATTTGAAACTGAGGTTGAAAAGGAGCTCAAAGTACCCAGTGTGCACTAGGGGTGATGTCAGGGCTCTCTACTCCCTGATAACAACATTTTCCTGGCTGTAGCCCTAAACTTCTGTTTCTACCTGACACCTTTTATCAGCAATATACTTAGCATTTTCTTAAAAATCAAAATGAATGTTCTATTTTTATAGGAAAGAAAACAAGCCCAGGTATTATTACAAGGATTTTTTCCCTGCTGTTCCCTCAGCTCTGTATCTGAAGCACAGCAGTGACTGCCAAGGCCTCTGTTTGCAGCTGAAATCAGATAACAGCTCTGTGCCCTTCCATTTGCACAAACAAAGCTGGGGAGGACCTGGAACAAGCAGGAAGCTGTTTGATGTGCAATCTGGGCTGCTTGTAATGCACCAGGAGTCAGTGAACTGTGTGAGAAGCCAGGACATGGCACTGGGGCTGAGGAGCAGCAGCACATGGAGAGCAATAACAGCAGAAATGGGCACATTCAGGGCAGACAAGTTGTTCCTTTGGCCTCTGCTTGGGGTTTGTATCCACTTTCTTCAATGCTACAGATGAATGCAGGTTTGAATGCAACTGGGTCTGAGAACTAAACCTCAGAGCACTCAGGTGTGTTTGCTGCTGTGTCAGAATGCTACAAACCCTCAAATGCACAGGTTTGTGAGCAGCCTGAAGCCCCTTAGTTACTACTGGCAGCTGTTGGCATTTTCCTCTTTTAACCAAGAATTCTCTGAAGTTAGAGTCACTTCCCTCACTCAACCTACTTTTCAGGGTTTGCTATGACTTTTGCAACTTCCTGCACGTCAGGCACACATGGCAGCGCTGCAGCTAAGGGACTGACACGGGAAAACAAACCCCTATGGACAGTCACAAGTGGGACTAGAGAGTGCAAGAGAATGCTGCAAGGGAGACAGAACTCTTTGGGAAGTAATCTGCCCGCAAAGCATCTCACTATGTGCTGTGTCTGATTCCTTTAAGGCAGAATTATGGTGATGTAAGTACCATGTAGTTTTTATGAAGTGCCCAACAGAACAAGCAACATATCCTCCATATCTGCCCATGAGGGACCACCTAGGAGACACCAGTGTGTCCTCCTGTGTCACCTCTTCCCTCCCACCACCAAATCGCAATCAGCAGAGACATTTTAGAATCTGAGGATGTGAGTCCTAACAAGAGGTTTGTTTGGCTAGCAAGGGAGATGTCCTAGGTGGGGTTGAGTGCTGTGAGGAGCAGCACTGACCCTGCAGGAGGAAGGGGCAGCTACTCACAGTCCAGGATGACCTGAGCCGCTCGGTAGAGCTGCAGCCCTTGCAGCAGGTCCAGGAGCTGCTGGACAGTTGCCAGCCTCACTCCCCACCACCACATGAGCTCCCTCGTGATGCTGATCCCTGTCTTCTCCATGCACTTGATTTTCCGCAGCTCTGTTTGGTCAGTGATCACATAGGAGGCTGTGGGAGAGAAGGGATGTTTCTGTTTGAAAAGGAGAGAAGGACCAAGGACAAGCAGGGCAAGGCAAGGTGTGAGACACAATTTGCTCCTGCAGGGCTTTAAAAGGAAGGGTGACAGTAAACTAGCTATGTGGGCATGAAGAGAATTCTGTTCCTGAAGTCAGAGATCCCTTTTCTTTCTTTAACTGCTCTGGAAAACACATTATATCATAGACACTCAAAAAGAAAACCCAGTCACACTTTTCAGCATATTTTCCCTGTAATCTTCTTTCTCCTTAACACTTTGTACCAAAGTAAGCTCAGATTGAATTCCTGGAGTGCTTCTCCCAGAACAGGTGACACAGTCTGTGGTTTGACTGCTCTCCTGCCTGCATTCCCAGATCCCAGTGCTGGGGTGAGCCAAACAGCACCTGAATCACCTGGGTGTTAGCTTCACTGCGATAAAGCAGCCCGGGAAATGCAGCTATTTTTGGGTCACCCCTGCTCCATTCTGCACACCTGGAGCCTCAGAGAGGCTGTGCCTGAAGGAGAGAGGCTGGGGGGGTGTGGAGTCAAGGATTCCCACCCCAGCTGGCTCTAGAAGGATGTCAGAAATACGGTTTTATGCATCTGAAGGCAGCAGAGATGAATCCCACCCTGCATCAGGAAGTTTAACTGGGGTGAGAGCTTGCTCAGCAGACAGCTAGGGAAGTCTTGAATGAAATTAAATCATGTCAGATACAGGAAGGTAGGCACTAAGAAAGGTTCAGGTCAGAATTATTTGGACTGGGATACAGAAAAAACAACTCAGGCACTGTATTTTCTGTACTTATTGACTGGACACAGCCAGGACTGGGGCAGAAAGTGTGGGGGAATATACATGAAAAGAAGGAAGAAAGAAAACAATAGAACACCCGAGCAGATGTGAGGGATGTTGTGAAAAAAGGCAGTGAGAAGTGGCAGGAGACTCTGTGACTGCAGAGGGAAGTGCAAGAGATAGCAGAGAGTGATGGGAGGGAGCCTGGCTGCCCGGGAGAAGCCCAGGGAACACAGAAGTCTGCAATTCCACCCTGGTTTGAAAACCAAAGCTAGACTGGTGCCTGGGAATTCCCTGTCCACAGGATGTGCTCTGCTGAGCGCTGGGAAGGGCTTGGCCGGGGGCCCTGGCCAGGGACAGCAGCAAACCTCACCTAAACCACAGTCCCAAACGTGCTGCTGCCCTGTATGCCCCTGGGCACACTGTCACCCCATTGTCATGTGTGCCCCTGGGCACACTGTCACCCAACTGCCTTGTGTTCCCCTGGTCACACTGTCACACCACTGCTTATTGTTCCCTGGTCACACTGTCACACCACTGCCCTGTGTGCCCCTGGGCACACTGTCACCCCATTGTCATTGTGTGCCCCTGGTCACACTGTCACCCCATTGTCATGTGTGCCTCCAGGCACACTGTCACCCCACTGCCCTGGTGTGCCCCTGGCCGCACCGTCACACCACTGCTCTGGGTTCCCCTGGTCACACCATCACACCACTGCCCTGTGTGCCCCTGGGCACACTGTCACCCCATTGTCATTGTGTGCCCCTGGTCACACCATCACACCACTGCTCTGTGTGCCCCTGGGCACACTGTCACCCCATTGTCATTGTGTGCCCCTGGTCACATTGTCACACCACTGCCCTGTGTGCCCCTGGTCACACCATCACACCACTGCCCTGAGTGCCCCTGGGCACACTGTCACCCCATTGTCATTGTGTGCCCCTGGTCACACCATCACCCCACGTCCCTGCCGCCAGCACACCTGCCCCGCGTGCCCCTCACCGAACCGCATCCAGTCGTAGTCGCTCAGGCAGTCCATCTTCTGGCAGAAGTCCTCCAGCACCCAGGCAGGCATGCTGTGGATGTACTGCACCGAGGCTGAGCCCCCTGTGAGGCCGAGGGGTGTCTGCTGCAGGGCCATGGCTCTGCACACCCTCTCCGGACAGACCTTCGTCCCCAGCGTGGCCATCAGCAGTGGCTGCGCATGGTGCGCGTCCAGGGCAGCCGCTGCTCTCAGCCTCCTCTGCGAGCTATGGAGGCTGATTTTCTCCCAAAGCTTCCTCTTTGCAGAGGGTTGGCCTCCCAGCCCGTCCCACCCCACCCGGGCACACTGCCGGGGAAAGAGCCAGCGACACAGCGAGCAATTCTTGGCAGGCTCAGACCACACTGCTGCTTCCTGCTCCAGCTGACGTCAGGGCCCAGATGCAAATCAGATTTTCCTTTCCACGACTGGTTCTTGCTCCAGCCTGGCTGCCCAAATATGAGTTCCACGTGATGGAGGCGAGCGATGCTGTCCCGAGCGCTGTGCACAGCTGTGCAGAGTGAGCGGGACCGTGCGGGTCAGGAGCAGTGCCTGGCACAGCTGGCTCAGCCCAGGCCATGGACACATCCCTGGGCACCCAGAGGGGCTTTCTTCACCCCTCTGGAGATAGAGAGGTGTCTGTGTGAACATGGATCCCCCAAGAGCTGCCCCAGCCACGCTGCCCACCCTGCTGGGGCTGCACAGCTGGGGAGTAGACAGTCTCAAAGGTCTCACAGGAGCTGAGAAAGGAACATGTCCCACCAGAGAGGGCACTGACAGTGCCACCAGCTGAGCCCACACGAGGATCCTGCTGCCAGGATCTGACACTGCTGCAGCATACAGAAGCTCACCTTGCAATGTGTGGTACCACAGCAGAAGTGAAAAATGTAAAACATGATCCTATGGCCACGTCTTGCGTGTCAGAGATTAGGTGTAAAACAAGCGCTTTGAGTTGATAATTTTTTCCAAATTTTAATTTTTTATTTATTCTGCTTTGGATGAAAATGTGTAATTAATTAATTTGCCAGTGTAAATGCTACAAACACTTCTGGCACAGTGACCTACCTGAAGAGCCTTCCTGGCCACCTCTGCTGCCTGCAAGACACAGCTAACCATTCCTCTCTCTGTTCTTGCCCACATTTAGCCCTAGGTCTTTTGAATGAATTGCAAACAGTGCTGTAAGTTTGGAGAGCTTTTAATTGACCATTTCTGTGTAATCTGCATATCTGTTACAGTACAGCTAACTCGTTTTAGTATCAAACTTCCAAACTTGGGCAGTTTTCTGGCCTCTCAAACACCATTCAAGCAACTATGAATTTCTTAGCCCTACCGTGGCAAGAAAAAGCTGAAGGATTTGAGATTGATGTAGCTATGAGGTCAAAAGACAGAAAAAAAGCTAAACAAATATCTCCAAAGTGTAATACTGGGATATGACAAATCAAAGACTGCCTTGAGATGCATTATTTCAGCAGTAGCACCAGTTCAACAATAGCAGTTGCATTTATAGGGTTTTCCCCTCCCTTTTCCCTGCTTACCGTCCCTCTGACACACACCTCAATTGTGTCATGGGGTCAGAGCATCTCTGAAAGTGATGTAAGATGAGACTGAAATTGTGTTGCAAGAACTGGATAAAAGCAGGAAGAAAACATTCTTCTTCCCTTGGGTAGTGGAAAGACTTGTGAAACCTTTTGGACTATTTGCCTCAGAGGAAAAGCAAGGGGAAGAACAAACCCAACTGTGCACATGGCTTCAGTTCTGCTCTGCACACAGGCACTGGGGGGTTACCTGACAGAATTACTGAGTCACAAAGCCAGCCTGGATTTCCATTTTTATGTCAAAGATCAGTTCACAGTTCAAATACATAAGAAAAACAAGTTACAAAAAGGGGGAATGTTCCACACTTACAGAGTATATTGAGATTCTCAGTTTCACAGCTGCTCTCAGAACGTACAACTGGAGAGAAACATATGCACAGAAATAACCTGTTGTGATGTCCTACCATCCTGCTGCTAACCTGGGCAGCACCACATCTGTTACTGGCGGAAAACTCATGTGTCTGCTGAAACTTCACTGCTTTGAATTCTGTATCCATTCACACAAGTACAGGAGGAGTGGGGGGAGAGAACACAGGCAATGGAATGCTATCTCTGCTTCTCCAGCCTGCCACAGGGCTGGCTGTGAGCCATACAGCCTGATGCTGGTCTGAGGAGACACCAGCAGCTCCCCAAAAAGGCTCCCCACTATGACCTGGACTATGGCACTGCCGTGGGAAAAGGCAGGACTCAAAAGCATCTGCCTCCTGTGACCCCTGTCCAGGCTGCTGGGGACTCAGCTGCACAGCCAAAAGGTGTCCCAAAACCAAGATCTGGTCTGTGTGGCTGAGATCAGCCCGGCAAGGATCCCATGATGAAGGCAAATAAGGCATTCAAGGTATGCTGTGAGTGAAAAACGTGTCAGCCCCAGAGCAGACACGACACGGGATTGCAAAGGCCAAGGTAAGAGGCAGAAAACCCCCCAAGCATTTACATGTCATCTTTCCACCAACATAACGTTTGTCAGGTCCTCAGGTGGCACTGGAAACCCTCACACAACCCCCACACTCTGTGACCCACAGGCACATCGAGGGAAATTCCACCAAAACAAGTGACTCAGAACCTTGTTGGTTTGTCACTTGGTCTGGGTTAACCTAATCCTTGGTGCAATTTGACTGCTAACACAGTGAAAGTTCCTCTCTATGAATATTTCCACATAGCTGCCCTGATCTCACATCCCTCAACGTCCTGGGACAGTCCAAATCAACCTTCCAAGCGCCTCCGGAGCCATCGGTGTGTGACACGCAGGGAGGAACAGACCTGAGCCTGCTGCAGGCCCCAGGATCAGCCTCACTGGTGTAACTGGTCACCAGTTTGACTGAGTTTGTGTCTCAGGACTAAAGGGAGGCATGCGCTCCTGGTGTTTGGCTGCTCAACCGCGCTGGCTCTGTCCAAGGGTGCTGTGAGCCACCCTGTTACTTCAGAACTCCATTCCTCAGTGCTTCGCTCCTCTCCAGGGAAAGCCGCTGAAGATCCTTCGAGATGTCAGGGTGATCCTCCAGCTCTGCATACAAGGACTGCACAATGTCCAGCTTCCTGTAGTCTGTGGGGCTGACCAGGCTGCGCACCACCTGCAGACACCTCTCCTTCAGGGAGAACACTGGGGACACACACCACGGGCTCGTCACCAGGACTGCCACCCCCAGCACACACAGTGCTTCTCCACGCACAGGGACGCACACCACAGCCCCAGCAGTGTCACCCACGGCCCCCAGAGACCTCAGCAGTGTCACCCACGGCCCCCACAGTCCCCAGCAGTGTCACCCACAGCCCCCACAGTCCCCAGCAGTGTCACCCACGGCCTCCACAGTACCCCGCAGAGTAACCCACGGCC